TCAACATTCTCTGAGACCATACCAGGTCAGCACAACTGCGACCCTGCTTGTATGCCGCCTGCCAAGGTCCAGTGTACATATCAACGTGGTAATTGATTCTGTTCAAGGCTACGAGGGATAGGACTTTTCTAGTTCCATTTAGTAATGTGAGGGGCCGGATAGACTTTATCGGACCTCGGGGTTTTCCTGGCTTCTGAAGGGGTGTCAGGATACCTTCTCCAATAGCTGGGATGTATGTGTTGGTCTCAAAGGAGAGATTGTAGATCCTAGCCAACTCACAGTGGAGGGGATATCCAGCAGCTTTCATTAGCTCATTAGGTATACCGTCAGGGCCACACGCTCTACCGGATTTCAGCTTCATAACAGCACGGCCAACTTCTTCAGGTGTTATGGGACAGAGGAGGCTTCCAGGAGGGTCTATGAATGCTGGGAGGTGGGGTTCATCTTTGTCATTGAATCATTATTAAAGTATTCTTTAATAGCTTCTGCTTTTAATGAGTCAGAACCTAAGGTGTTGCCGTCTGCGTCGTGGACAGTCACTCCATCTTTCTTCATCCTACACTGGGCCAATGTTCTATTCGCTTCAAACATGCTTCTGCAGCTGTCGGTGTTGTTGATGACATCTACAAGGGCGTTAGCAGTGGCCTCGTTGATGGATTTCAACCTCTTTTTGATGGTACGTTTGAGATGGTTGATTCTTTTTCTGAGGTCACTCCTGTCACTTATCCCTGTGAGGCTACATTCTTGCTGAAGGGACTTTCTCTCTGCTGAAAGTTTAACGACAGTTGGATCGTCGCTGTACTGATGAGGCTTCCCCGGGGGCACTTTACCAACCACCTGGACGGCACATTTACTCAATATACCAAATATATCAGAATTTTCAGAAATGGCATTATTAGTTAAAACTCTACAATCAATATTACTTTTAAATGAATCAAAAAATTTAGACTTAATATCAGAATCATTAAGGCGATTGACATCAAACCTTATTTCGTCAGACCTGGGCCGCTTATGTAATGTACAATGTATTCACAACCAAGTTTAAAACGTGCGACCACAGGTTTATTGTCAGATTTCACAAAATCACCGCAAAAAGAGCGGGAGTCTGTTAAACAGACTTTAAAGTTAGTACGACATAAAATATAATCAATTTGTTTAAAATAGTTTACAGTGTCTTTTGAACCCTTGGGTCTGCCCTTGGGAACACATCTAGCCTTCCAGGTGGTAATATACTTCGCTCTGTGTTGGAACGCAGTATTGCACGCAAACAGACCATTATCAACAATAAAGTCCAGTAGAAACTAACCGTTCCTGTTTCTCAGACCATTACCGAACTGACCAATATGATTATTAAGGCCAGCATCATACTCTTTCCTACTGCATCTCCCAAGGCGGGCGTTAAAATCTCCAGCAACAAACAAATCGAATCGAGCTGGGATATTGATAGCAGTTTTCAGATCATTGAAATATGATTGTAACAATGGGGAGTTAACTGTGACCCTACTGATGTCATCATCGACAATCTTCTTGGATGGTCCGTACACGTTAACGATCCTGATCATACGATGAGATCCGTTGTGTTCTGTGAGTCTTATATCAATGAAAGCCACTCTGTTACTAAGTGATCTCCATGCAACAATAGAAGGTACAAGGGCTGGGCAGATTAGAAAACCGAGACCATAATGATACCAATTGTCTGATTGGGCTAGTGTTACAAGTTTGTGACCGTCAATAATTGTTTCCTCGAAGTCTCGGCATTTTGTCTCTTGGAGACACACTACATCGAAATGATAACGTTTAGCGTCACTTACTAAATGTTCTCTCCTAAGAATGTTACCTTTAATACCATTGAGGTTCCAACTTGAAATGTTCAGAGTCGAAGACATCGGCATAAAGAGACTTTACTGGTGGAACACGGAGTGTACCTGGTGGTGGGAGTATTACGAGACTTTACTGGTGGAACACGGAGTGTACCTGGTGGTGGGAGTATTACGAGACTTTACTGGTGGAACACGGAGTGGACCTGGTGGTGGGAGTAATACGAGACTTTACTGGTGGAACACGGAGTGGACCTGGTGGTGGGAGTATTACGAGACTTTACTGGTGGAACACGGAGTGGACCTGGTGGTGGGAGTATTACGAGACTTTACTGGTGGAACACGGAGTGGACCTGGTGGTGGGAGTATTACGAGACTTTACTGGTGGAACACGGAGTGGACCTGGTGGTGGGAGTATTACGCAACTTTACTGGTGGAACACGGAGTGTACCTGGTGGTGGGAGTATTACGAGACTTTACTGGTGGAACATGGAGTCGACCTGGTGGTGGGAGTATTACGAGACTTTACTGGTGGACCTGGTGGTGGGAGTATTACGAGACTTTACTGGTGGAACACGGAGTGGACCTGGTGGTGGGAGTATTACGAGACTTTACTGGTGGAACACGGAGTGGACCTGGTGGTGGGAGTATTACGAGACTTTACTGGTGGAACACGGAGTGTACCTGGTGGTGGGAGTATTACGAGACTTTACTGGTGGAACACGGAGTGTACCTGGTGGTGGGAGTATTACGAGACTTTACTGGTGGAACACGGAGTGTACCTGGTGGTGGGAGTATTACGAGACTTTACTGGTGGAACACGGAGTGTACCTGGTGGTGGGAGTATTACGAGACTTTACTGGTGGAACACGGAGTGGACCTGGTGGTGGGAGTATTACGAGACTTTACTGGTGGAACACGGAGTGTACCTGGTGGTGGGAGTATTACGAGACTTTACTGGTGGAACACGGAGTGGACCTGGTGGTGGGAGTATTACGAAACTTTACTGGTGGAACACGGAGTGTACCTGGTGGTGGGAGTATTACGAGACTTTACTGGTGGAACACGGAGTGGACCTGGTGGTGGGAGTATTACGAGACTTTACTGGTGGAACACGGAGTGTACCTGGTGGTGGGAGTATTACGAGACTTTACTGGTGGAACACGGAGTGTACCTGGTGGTGGGAGTATTACGAGACTTTACTGGTGGAACACGGAGTGGACCTGGTGGTGGGAGTATTACGAGACTTTACTGGTGGAACACGGAGTGGACCTGGTGGTGGGAGTATTACGAGACTTTACTGGTGGAACACGGAGTGGACCTGGTTGTGGGAGTATTACGAGACTTTACTGGTGGAACACGGAGTGGACCTGGTGGTGGGAGTATTACGAGACTTTACTGGTGGAACACGGAGTGGACCTGGTGGTGGGAGTATTACGAGACTTTACTGGTGGAACACGGAGTGTACCTGGTGGTGGGAGTATTACGAGACTTTACTGGTGGAACACGGAGTGTACCTGGTGGTGGGAGTATTACGAGACTTTACTGGTGGAACACGGAGTGTACCTGGTGGTGGGAGTATTACGAGACTTTACTGGTGGAACACGGAGTGTACCTGGTGGTGGGAGTATTACGAGACTTTACTGGTGGAACACGGAGTGGACCTGGTGGTGGGAGTACTACGAGACTTTACTGGTGGAACACGGAGTGGACCTGGTGGTGGAAGTATTACGAGACTTTACTGGTGGAACACGGAGTGGACCTGGTGGTGGGAGTATTACGAGACTTTACTGGTGGAACACGGAGTGGACCTGGTGGTGGGAGTATTACGAGACTTTACTGGTGGAACACGGAGTGTACCTGGTGGTGGGAGTATTACGAGACTTTACTGGTGGAACACGGAGTGGACCTGGTGGTTGGAGTATTACGAGACTTTACTGGTGGAACACGGAGTGGACCTGGTGGTGGGAGTATTAAGAGACTTTACTGGTGGAACACGGAGTGGACCTGGTGGTGGGAGTATTACGAGACTTTACTGGTGGAACACGGAGTGTACCTGGTGGTGGGAGTATTACGAGACTTTACTGGTGGAACACGGAGTGTACCTGGTGGTGGGAGTATTACGAGACTTTACTGGTGGAACACGGAGTGTACCTGGCGGTGGGAGTATTACGAGACTTTACTGGTGGAACACGGAGTGTACCTGGTGGTGGGAGTATTACGAGACTTTACTGGTGGAACACGGAGTGTACCTGGTGGTGGGAGTATTACGAGACTTTACTGGTGGAACACGGAGTGGACCTGGTGGTGGGAGTATTACGAGACTTTACTGGTGGAACACGGAGTGTACCTGGCGGTGGGAGTATTACGAGACTTTACTGGTGGAACACGGAGTGTACCTGGTGGTGGGAGTATTACGAGACTTTACTGGTGGAACACGGAGTGGACCTGGTGGTGGGAGTATTACGAGACTTTACTGGTGGAACACGGAGTGTACCTGGTGGTGGGAGTATTACGAGTCTTTACTGGTGGAACACGGAGTGGACCTGGTGGTGGGAGTATTACGAGACTTTACTGGTGGAACACGGAGTGGACCTGGTGGTGGGAGTATTACGAGACTTTACTGGTGGAACACGGAGTGGACCTGGTGGTGGGAGTATTACGAGACTTTACTGGTGGAACACGGAGTGGACCTGGTGGTGGGAGTATTACGAGACTTTACTGGTGGAACACGGAGTGGACCTGGTGGTGGGAGTATTACGAGACTTTACTGGTGGAACACGGAGTGGACCTGGTGGTGGGAGTATTACGAGTGGACCTGGTGGTGGGAGTATTACGAGACTTTACTGGTGGAACACGGAGTGTACCTGGCGGTGGGAGTATTACGAGACTTTACTGGTGGAACACGGAGTGTACCTGGTGGTGGGAGTATTACGAGACTTTACTGGTGGAACACGGAGTGTACCTGGTGGTGGGAGTATTACGAGACTTTACTGGTGGAACACGGAGTGGACCTGGTGGTGGGAGTATTACGAGACTTTACTGGTGGAACACGGAGTGTACCTGGTGGTGGGAGTATTACGAGACTTTACTGGTGGAACACGCAGTGGACCTGGTGGTGGGAGTATTACGAGACTTTACTGGTGGAACACGGAGTGGACCTGGTGGTGGGAGTATTACGAGACTTTACTGGTGGAACACGGAGTGTACCTGGTGGTGGGAGTATTACGAGACTTTACTGGTGGAACACGGAGTGGACCTGGTGGTGGGAGTATTACGAGACTTTACTGGTGGAACACGGAGTGTACCTGGTGGCGGGAGTATTACGAGACTTTACTGGTGGAACACGGAGTGAACCTGGTCCTTAACGGTCACGTGCATCACTATGAGAGGACCTGGCCAATCAGGAACCAGATATGAGAGGCCGTGAAATCGTGAGTTTTAAATTTTGTTATTTGTTGCTTTTAATGTCATTACTCCTAACTCTGGCAATAAATAGGATGTAATGTGATAGTTGTATACAATTATTTTTTAATACATTATAAATTTTACCTGTTAAAACCGAATTCCAGTTAATACCGAATTCAAAACGTACAGCTCAATCGTGAAGAATTCACACTCACGGCCAACTAAGCAAGTCATCAGTTCGGAAACGCTTAAAAGCGTAGTCAAACGTGTTGTTGAGGAAGAGGACCGCAGTCGCAACGTCATTGTATTTGGTCTGTCAGAAGGGAGCGATAGCGATCTTATTGACACAGTTAGCGAGATTTTCCAAAACATTGGACAGAAACCGAAGATAGTTGAAGCGTGCAGAATTGGCAGGACATTTAAAGGCAATTCAGTTACTGCGCGGCCCGTCAAAGTAAAAGTAGTAAGCTCAATAGTTGTTGATCAGCTTGTCGCCAACACTAAGAATCTGAGAATAACAGAGAAGATAACTGAGAAGAAAACTGTTTTCGTCTGTCCAGATCGATCTACTGAAAAACGCCAAATTCAAAGAGACTTACTCTTAGTCAAGCTAGGAGGTGAGGCAAAAGAGAAGGATAAAGTCTTTTTCATAAAGAGCTGATAAAATCCTTTGTAGAGATAAAATTGAAACTGAGGCCGATGGATAATATGGGTCAAATATATTTTGTGGTGAATTAATTGATTTGTCGAGTGTTTGCAACATGTTTTAGCGCACAGTTTTTTGCTTTTTAAAGTGATAATGCAGGACTAAACAGTTCTCGAGAGCCTAATTAGCATAATTAATTTGTAATATAAATATAACGGAGTTTTATATTAACAGGAAGCGATGTAATAACAGAGTCGATATATTTTGATGTTGCCATGGGGTGGCAAGTCCCCATACATCGTGGTCCGGTAGTTTCATTGCGTCCTAATTTACCTGGGGACCTCAGGCTATTATGTTCATAAAAATAATAAAGATTCGGCGGAATGACAGGCCATGAGCGCGGCCCAGTAAGTCTTAATATATTACATATATTTGAAGTAAACATTGGCCAGAAAGCAAAGCCAAAAGCTGGTCCCCAAATAAACAAAACTCTTTACTCATTTATTACGTAATATTTGTAAAACGTTCTTTATGTGGCCTTGATTGACTATTATTCGAATTTCGAAACTTTAACCCTCCAATCTGATTCCAACCGTAACCCAATCGCAAATCGACTGTAAATTAAAGGGATTTAGCACGCTCAACAAATTGCGCGCATTGCAGTAATTCGACCCGTGCAGTTTTTATAAAATTCGCGCGCGCATATAATCGGACAATTTAGTTGCCATCTGTTCTCTTTGCTTTGGTTGACAGTTTGATAACCGTTCATATCATGGGCAACGCGACGTTGCGTTGACCTGTTATCTACGATGTTTTTCAGTGGACAATTGTGAATTAATTTTATCGCTTTTCTAAGATGGCTACGTTTTCCGGACAAATGTTTTGCTTTTCTCAAAATCTAGTTTCAAGTTCTGTACTTTATAGAAAAAAAAATAGAATCTATTTTAGAATCTATTTTAGAATCTATTTTAGAATCTATTTTAGAATCCATTTTAGAATCTATTTTCTGCTATTATAACTGTAAGTGAATTATATTAATAACCAATAGCTAATAGATTATTAGGCAGACTAGTACCTTTTTTACTTTTTGACATTTTTCATAATTGGAGTAATTTTTCTGTTTCCAAACCACGAATGACAGTAATGTAATTACTATGTTTATTCAGGCCCATTCATATTATTGTATAAAACATTTCGATACAAAACACTGTAATATTTAGCAATAAATCAAAAAGGAAACACAATTAAATAATAACAATACTTAGGTTAGTGGGTGAAATTATCTACAAGTCATAATTGCTAGCCTAATATATTTGTACAAATGTCGCCTCAGTGGCGTAATTGGTTAGTACAATTGGTTAGCCTTGGCCCTTTAACCCGGAGGTTGCGAGTTCGAATCCCGGCTGGGTCAAAATTTCAAAAATCGTCAATTAATCAACGCATTGAAGGCTTGTGTATACATGTTTCTGAAAAATTGAACTAGTCACCCACCAACGTTATTACACAGTAATATATAATTTAATGCCGTATAATACGAGCAAAGTTACTCAGTTTATCTAACAAAGGTAACATGTGAGGTGCATCGTCTAATGTTCTACCCTCCAATGGGAATATAACAACAGAGCAGTAAACACGTGCTCTGGATAACGCTAAGTAAAGGTGAGTCAGGTCCAGCTCCTCACTACTGTACCACCTCACTGTGAGCAGTACTATTACAGCTGGCCACTCTGCAGAGGAACTATCCGCACTGTCACACACTGCAATCTTACTATCAGTGTTATCACATCTCATATTAACACTGTTCTTAACTAGTGACTCTACACTACTAGTGACATCAGTATGTACTATACCTATATCAGAATAATTTAATTCATCACACAATCTATCTAATTCATTATTAAATACATGCATAATACTAGTAACATTGAAATCATTAAACACATGCATGACAGGCAATGTACCGTGTATGAAGTGTCCTTGCAATTGTGTAGGTAAAATCATATCTAATACATCAGGTATTTCTGAAAATTCTCTTAATTGTTCTCGTATTACACATAAGATGTCAGATAAATCACATGTGTTCCTAAGGCTCATTGATAAGCGTACCAACTGAGTGGATGATAGTTTGTCAGATATCCTTCTCAGGTCGTCAATAATTCCCTTTTTATTCAAACTCCAAAAACCCTGTGCCATGTCACATGCAACCATGACAGTGCACTTTAATAATAACAACTTGTCCATCAGCACACTACACTTCTTAGTTGAGCTGTAATATAATAACTCCTGTATATCATCAATAAATATGTGACAGTTGGTCACAGCACTGATTGTGTCTGTTAACTTCTGTATATCCCCATGTGTTATCTCTACAATGATAACTTTACACTCACTCTCTGATATTAGAGTAACTAGTTCTGTGACGTCAGACATGCTGGTCTCTCGACAGTCGACATCAGCATTCTTTAATGCACTCTGATACAGCTCACAGTTATTACCTTCACCGCCGAATTTGAATAACACAACTTTATTGTCCTCATTAAGTTGTTGTACAAGTTGTATCATTCTACCGCAAAGTATCACACTTTTCCCCGCTCCTGCGGGTCCATTAATCCACAACAGATCCTCGCTTGATTCGAACGCTTTACTTTGTTCTGCTGTCAGGTTATCCACTTTGACATAGTTTTTGATAACAGCAGGAGCTGTTACAACTCCAGGATTCTGTGCACCCTTCTTCCCTTTTTTTGGTAAAAAAATAAATTTTCCTGATCTGAGCCGTTCATCAATGTTTGATATGCAGTTTCCTAAACTACATTTCGATTTATCGTAGTATTTATCGGTAGACCATATAGCAAGTAAGATATCTCTAACTTTTTGAAATGCATCATTAACTGTTGACGTTGTATCTTGAGCTATTGCTGCGTTGTTATTCCACCAAGAACCAAAACTTGATATGTCCTCATGAAATATCACTGTTGATAATTCTAAATCGCTTAGCTGAAATCCTATATTTTCACTAGCCAGGAACTGTCCTTTAAATTGTTTTTTGAAATTAGGATATGCAGTGAACTGACATATAGTTGTGTCCTTGTCCATACATTGAATCAGAGATTCTATCTTCTTTCTCTGCTTAACTGACTTTTTGAACGTACCAAATAATGCTCGATAGTGCTCTTCCTTGTTAATCGCAACATCATCGATCTCAATGTGAGACATGTTCTTAACTTCGATTATAACAATGGAGCCTGGACATAAAATTAAAAAATCGCACTCCCCTACAATATCTTTAGATCTACATGAACGACAACCCTTTTTCACATGATTTTTATCGCACAAATAGTATTGGAAGTGCGTGAATTGAAAGTTATGAAGAACGATGATCTTATTGTCCGGTAATTTCTCCAATGCCCTATACACCATAACTTCGGCCTCATAATCAGATTGTCGTCGTCGTTCATCTTCGAAGTCACTACTACTATCCGGGTACCTGTCTATATACGTCTGATCTGGAGCTCTCGGCAACATAGTGGGTCGTTTGTCATCAGTGGGTCGTTTGTCATTAGAGGTGCAGAACTTGAGGAATATTTCTTCTCCGTTCTTTAAATAGTTCTCCATTGTTCAGTAAATTAAGATATTCTGAGATAAATGAAACTGTTATAAATATAAGTTTAAAGCTAAATGTAGTTAACATAATTTGTAAATGAGATGAGGCACCGCAGGTGCTCAGGACAAAGTACGAACTTTGATTAATCAGAGCTGTGAGGAGTGGAGTATTACATTCATATTATTACCTTAATATTTAAGAAATTAATGTTAATCTTTACCTTACGAAAATATCTGAAACGCAGCTTAATCTCCGACCGGAATCTGGTACCTAAAATATATTATCCTGTCAATTATTGCGAGCAAGGTAGATCATTTTTTTATGAGATATCTTGTACTACAAATGTGTAGGGCGGAATATTTTAAATTGTTGTTTAGGATGAAGAATTAATCATTAAGGGTCGCTCTATAATAGGGATGATCAATGGTATTAAAATTCAAAACTTATATTAGTATATCAAAATCTTGTGAAACGGCCAAGTGCTATAGTAAACATACATATTTTTACCTTGATATTCTGATTCAAGATCGATGTTGATCTAATTGACGAAGAAATTGGAATAGGCTGCTTGATCGCTGACCTGAGTCTAGTACCTAAAATACGACACTGATATGAGCAGGTTAATCATTTTGTAATTAAATATAATGGAATACAAAATGTGTAACGAATATAAAAATAAAGTAAACGTCTTAACGAAAAAAGGTTAATACTAACCTTTTAAACTAGTAACAGAGATCGTTACTAGTTTAAAAGGTTAGAGGCTCTCTCAAAAACCAAAAAAGTGCAATTTTGTAAGATTAGCTGTGAACTGAACCGGGCACATGGGCAGCTATCAAACCAGGCCAGGAAGCAAAATTAAGAAATGGATGTCAGGAACAGGTGAAACACTACACAGGAATTTGAAGCAGCTTTACGAGGAAGCCACTCAGCGACCCACACTCCAAAAGTCTAATGCGTTGACGGCTGTCTATAAACTCTACTTGTAAACAATTTCGATGCTAACCACAAAGTTAGTCTGGCAAGCAACTGGTAAGTAGGTAACATAACTAGTAAGCTAGGTAACCAATAAGCTAGGTAACCAGTAAGCTAGGTAACCAGTAAGCTAGGTAACCAGTAAGCTAGGTAACCAGTAAGCTAGGTAACCAGTAAGCTAGGTAACCAGTAAGCTAGGTAACCATAAAGCTAGGTAACCAGTAAGCTAGGTAACCAGTAAGCTAGGTAACCAGTAAGCTAGGTAACCAGTAAGCTAGGTAACCAGTAAGCTAGGTAACCAGTAAGCTAGGTAACCATTAAGCTAGGTAACCAGTAAGCTAGGTAACCAGTAAGCTAGGTAACCAGTAAGCTAGGTAACCAGTAAGCTAGGTAACCAGTAAGCTAGGTAACCAGTAAGCTAGGTAACCAGTAAGCTAGGTAACCAGTAAGCTAGGTAACCAGTAAGCTAGGTAACCAGTAAGCTAGGTAACCAGTAAGCTAGGTAACCAGTAAGCTAGGTAACCAGTAAGCTAGGTAACCAGTAAGCTAGGTAACCAGTAAGCTAGGTAACCAGTAAGCTAGGTAACCAGTAAGCTAGGTAACCAGTAAGCTAGGTAACCAGTAAGCTAGGTAACCAGTAAGCTAGGTAACCAGTAAGCTAGGTAACCAGTAAGCTAGGTAACCAGTAAGCTAGGTAACCAGTAAGCTAGGTAACCAGTAAGCTAGGTAACCATTAAGCTAGGTAACCAGTAAGCTAGGTAACCAGTAAGCTAGGTAACCAGTAAGCTAGGTAACCATTAAGCTAGGTAACCAGTAAGCTAGGTAACCAGTAAGCTAGGTAACCAGTAAGCTAGGTAACCAGTAAGCTAGGTAACCAGTAAGCTAGGTAACCAGTAAGCTAGGTAACCAGTAAGCTAGGTAACCAGTAAGCTAGGTAACCAGTAAGCTAGGTAACCAGTAAGCTAGGTAACCAGTAAGCTAGGTAACCAGTAAGCTAGGTAACCAGTAAGCTAGGGCGAGGAACATTATTCATAAGCTGAGTGTGGGATCATTATCTGAGACTAGACGTGCTCCGGTGCTTTGTTATTTAATGAAACCAATAATCCAATTCTTGCAGGAAAGACAGCACCGCAGATACAGATATTATACAGGCGCAAACTGCAAGCTGTATCTCCTTTTGTTATCTTTAGTGGTGTGGCTTTGATCTTCTGTAAAATCCACACATGAATTAAATCAGCGTATCAGAAGTCTCCACCTGACGAACAAAAGGCAGGTTGCGATGAAACGCAAAGAAACGACTAATGAAGTAATGAGATAAACATAGTCTATTGTCTTGGTAGACGGTTACTAGTTCATCTTATTTGTGATACAGACTGTATTACAGTATATAATACAATGTATTACTCACTTCACGAGGAATGACGGATAACTTCATCCACCCTTACAAGTACAATTTCTACTGATTTGGTGAAGTTGTCGCCTGACAGTTAACAAGACGGAGTCTACTGCATTGTAGACGATATGGTGTAACCCAGGGCTGGGAGGTGATGGTCAGTGATCTGTTAATCACACACACTGTATTGAGATCGATTATAGAATATGATATTTGCATGAAATCACACATTCTAACAGTTTGAAAATGATCAGTTCAGTATGAGAAACGGCTGGGTCATATCTAGGGGGAGGCTAGGAGGGTGTTCCGGGTAAATTATTGTCACATCTAGGAGGAGGCTAGGAGGGTGTGCCGGGTAACTTATTGTCACATCTAGGGGGAGGCTAGGAGGGTGTGCTGGGAAACTTATTGTCACATCTAGGGGGAGGCTAGGAGGGTGTGCTGGGTAACTTATTGTCACATCTAGGGGGAGGCTAGGAGGGTGTGCCGGGTAACTTATTGTCACATCTAGGGGGAGGCTAGGAGTGTGTGCCTGTTAACTTATTGTCACATCTAGGGGGAGGCTAGGAGAGTGTGCTGGGTAACTTATTGTCACATCTAGGGGGAGGCTAGGGGGTGTGCTGGGTAACTTATTGTCACATCTAGGGGGAGGCTAGGGGGGTGTGCCGGGTAACTTATTGTCACATCTAGGGGAGGCTAGGAGGGTGTGCCGGGTAACTTATTGTCACATCTAGGGGGAGGCTAGGAGGGTGTGCTGGGTAACTTATTGTCACATCTAGGGGGAGGCTAGGAGGGTGTGCCGGGTAACTTATTGTCACATCTAGGGGGAGGCTAGGAGGGTGTGCTGGGTAACTTATTGTCACATCTAGGGGGAGGCTAGGAGGGTGTGCCGGGTAACTTATTGTCACATCTAGGGGGAGGCTAGGGGGGTGTGCCGGGTAACTTATTGTCACATCTAGGGGGAGGCTAGGAGGGTGTGCCGGGTAACTTATTGTCACATCTAGGGGGAGGCTAGGAGGGTGTGCTGGGTAACTTATTGTCACATCTAGGGGGAGGCTAGGAGGGTGTGCCGGGTAACTTATTGTCACATCTAGGGGGAGGCTAGGAGGGTGTACCGGGTAACTTATTGTCACATCTAGGGGGAGGCTAGGAGGGTGTGCCGGGTAACTTATTGTCACATCTAGGGGAGGCTAGGAGGGTGTGCCGGGTAACTTATTGTCACATCTAGGGGGAGGCTAGGAGGGTGTGCCGGGTAACTTATTGTCACATCTAGGGGGAGGCTAGGAGGGTGTGCTGGGTAACTTATTGTCACATCTAGGGGGAGGCTAGGAGGGTGTGCCGGGTAACTTATTGTCACATCTAGGGGGAGGCTAGGAGGGTGTGCCGGGTAACTTATTGTCACATCTAGGGGGAGGCTAGGAGGGTGTGCCGGGTAACTTATTGTCACATCTAGGGGGAGGCTAGGAGGGTGTGCTGGGTAACTTATTGTCACATCTAGGGGGAGGCTAGGAGGGTGTGCCGGGTAACTTATTGTCACATCTAGGGGGAGGCTAGGAGGGTGTGCCGGGTAACTTATTGTCACATCTAGGGGGAGGCTAGGAGGGTGTGCCGGGTAACTTATTGTCACATCTAGGGGGAGGCTAGGAGGGTGTGCCGGGTAACTTATTGTCACATCTAGGGGGAGGCTAGGAGGGTGTGCCGGGTAACTTATTGTCACATCTAGGGGGAGGCTAGGAGGGTGTGCCGGGTAACTTATTGTCACATCTAGGGGGAGGCTAGGAGGGTGTGCCGGGTAACTTATTGTCACATCTAGGGGGAGGCTAGGAGGGTGTGCCTGTTAACTTATTGTCACATCTAGGGGGAGGCTAGGAGGGTGTGCTGGGTAACTTATTGTCACATCTAGGGGGAGGCTAGGAGGGTGTGCCGGGTAACTTATTGTCACATCTAGGGGGAGGCTAGGAGGGTGTGCCGGGTAACTTATTGTCACATCTAGGGGGAGGCTAGGAGGGTGTGCCGGGTAACTTATTGTCACATCTAGGGGGAGGCTAGGAGGGTGTGCCGGGTAACTTATTGTCACATCTAGGGGGAGGCTAGGAGGGTGTGCCGGGTAACTTATTGTCACATCTAGGGGGAGGCTAGGAGGGTGTGCCGGGTAACTTATTGTCACATCTAGGGGGAGGCTAGGAGGGTGTGCCGGGTAACTTATTGTCACATCTAGGGGGAGGCTAGGAGGGTGTGCCGGGTAACTTATTGTCACATCTAGGGGGAGGCTAGGAGGGTGTGCCGGGTAACTTATTGTCACATCTAGGGGGAGGCTAGGAGGGTGTGCCGGGTAACTTATTGTCACATCTAGGGGGAGGCTAGGAGGGTGTGCCGGGTAACTTATTGTCACATCTAGGGGGAGGCTAGGAGGGTGTGCCGGGTAACTTATTGTCACATCTAGGGGGAGGCTAGGAGGGTGTGCCGGGTAACTTATTGTCACATCTAGGGGGAGGCTAGGAGGGTGTGCCGGGTAACTTATTGTCACATCTAGGGGGAGGCTAGGAGGGTGTGCCGGGTAACTTATTGTCACATCTAGGGGGAGGCTAGGAGGGTGTGCCGGGTAACTTATTGTCACATCTAGGGGGAGGCTAGGAGGGTGTGCCGGGTAACTTATTGTCACATCTAGGGGGAGGCTAGGAGGGTGTGCCGGGTAACTTATTGTCACATCTAGGGGGAGGCTAGGAGGGTGTGCCGGGTAACTTATTGTCACATCTAGGGGGAGGCTAGGAGGGTGTGCCGGGTAACTTATTGTCACATCTAGGGGGAGGCTAGGAGGGTGTGCCGGGTAACTTATTGTCACATCTAGGGGGAGGCTAGGAGGGTGTGCCGGGTAACTTATTGTCACATCTAGGGGGAGGCTAGGAGGGTGTGCCGGGTAACTTATTGTCACATCTAGGGGGAGGCTAGGAGGGTGTGCCGGGTAACTTATTGTCACATCTAGGGGGAGGCTAGGAGGGTGTGCCGGGTAACTTATTGTCACATCTAGGGGGAGGCTAGGAGGGTGTGCCGGGTAACTTATTGTCACATCTAGGGGGAGGCTAGGAGGGTGTGCCGGGTAACTTATTGTCACATCTAGGGGGAGGCTAGGAGGGTGTGCCGGGTAACTTATTGTCACATCTAGGGGGAGGCTAGGAGGGTGTGCCGGGTAACTTATTGTCACATCTAGGGGGAGGCTAGGAGGGTGTGCCGGGTAACTTATTGTCACATCTAGGGGGAGGCTAGGAGGGTGTGCCGGGTAACTTATTGTCACATCTAGGGGGAGGCTAGGAGGGTGTGCCGGGTAACTTATTGTCACATCTAGGGGGAGGCTAGGAGTGTGTGCCTGTTAACTTATTGTCACATCTAGGGGGAGGCTAGGAGGGTGTGCTGGGTAACTTATTAGATTTTTTTTTTTAGATTTAGATTTGAAAAATTTTCAAAACGGTATATACAAATCAACAGGATTATAAAACATAAAAATAAAAACCGCTTTGTCGGCAAATGCCAGGGCCCTAACAATCCACTCAAAAAAATTCAAAACAGGACCCAGAAGCTTGTAAGCCACTGGTCAAAAACAAAGTGAAATCTAATTAAATAAAGATTTTGTTCAAAAATCAAATAAAATCAAAATTACGCGACCAAAATTCAAAAACTCTCATAAATGTGAAAATCTTAGTATCAATCAATATCCATGATCAGAATAAATGAGGAAAAACGCGAAAATCACATACATTACTGTATTACAACAGATGTCAAAAATT